TTTACGAGTCAACTCACCGAGTCCATTAGCGTCTCGACTAGGGCCAAACCGTTGATAATAACCATGCCCGTTTCTCTAGAAGCCTCGGTGACGAATCCATTGGGCTTCATTCCGATAATGCTAGGAGCACAAGTTCTCGAAAACTCGTCACGGTTAAGTATTTCCTTCCCGCCTTCGAAACCCCTAATCCAAAGTGGCTCGTCGGTTTGCGCCAATTTCACTAATTCATCCATCGCAGCCAAAGCTAGCTCCAAATACATTGACCTCTCAAACGATCTATCGTTGTTATTATTGTTCGTAGCTACATTACTCATTGTGATTGATTTATGAGGAGGTAGCATGGGGATAGGGCTCGAAATCCCGAAATCGGAGGAAATTACGTTTATACCCCCAACTCCGAGCTCCAAGCTCGAATTGGGCATCGGATGACCCATTGAGGAAACGGGTCGACCCATGAACTTGCCTGCGAGAGAACAAACCCGTTCGAGTTCGTCCTTGAGGCGGGCGTTTTCGATTCGCAAGTGTTGCTCTTCGAGGGAGATTTCTCCGATTAGGGCGGGTCCGCCGCAGTTAGTGCACATGGGGTTCCTCATTGCTTCTCTAATGGACATGTTCTCGGCTCGGAGCTTGTCGTTGTCTTGCCGGAGTATCGAATTCTCGTGCCGCTCGAGTTGTGTCTGCAATTTAATTAATTAAAATTCTATACTAACTAATTATATTTCAAAAAAAAATTAACTAATTAATTAATCAAAACAATTATATTTCATTTAATTGAATTTAAATTAATTACCTTCATCTGTGTTCTTCTGTTCTGGAACCAGAATTTAACTTGTCTGGTTTCCAAGGAGAGTCTTCTGCTAAGCTCCAACCTTTGCTTTTCGTCTGGATGCGGACACTCTTTGAACAGACTAATTAATTAAGATAAATCAAAATTAATATCAAAATATTAAAATCAAACAATAAAATAAAAAAGAAATCTTTGAGAGGGAAATTAAATGGGAGAACAATAAAAAAAGCAATCTTTGAGAGGGAAATGGAATGGGAGGGAGAAGTACGATTCGAGTTCTTGGATTTGGAGAGGAGTGTGACGGTGGTATCTTTTTTTCCGGGGAGGTTTGTCGGAAGCGTCGAGTTCGTCGGCGGAGGCGCCGCCGTCAAAGTTGTCGCTGCCAGATCTGCTGTCGTGTTCTTCTTCTCTGCTTCTTCTTCCACCCACATTGTTATTATTACTCATAATTTCACTCTTCTCCACCATTCTTCCAATCTCTCCTTGCCCCTCCATATTAGTTTGCTGCTGCCCAGATAAAAAAATTATCAGAAATCCCATATATGCAGACATCATAGAGAGAGAGAGAGAGAGAGAGAGAGAGAGAGAGACGTACAAGGGCAAGAGAGAGGCCAGGAGAGAGAAACATGGGCTTGGTGGTGGTGGTGGTGGTAGAGAGAGAGGAGTGAGGGAGGAGGCGGGGATGAGAAATTGCACCGGTGGGCATAATAATGTTGTTGCTTCCAGCAGGTATAGTAGTAACAATGGATGCGTTGTTGTTATTGTGATTATTATTATTGGTATAAGTTATATCGGCAACAATTCTTGAACCACCACCACCACCACCACCGCCGCCGCCGCCGCCGCAAGAATTGCTGTCAAGAAAATCTCCAAAATTCATGAAATAACGCCGCCCCTCTTTCAGATTTTTTTTTTCCCTTGCAAAACCAGCTGAAAGACTGAATCCAGCAACAAATCTGCTAGATCATAGACTGGACAAATACATACACATATACATACACATATATGGTAGTAAATCAGACAGCAGAAAGTTGCTTCGAAAAAGAAAAAAAAAACGTTACAAATGTACAAAGAAGAAAAACACAATAGAGAGGAAGAAGAGACACAAGGCTCAAATCCAAATGTCTGCAACTGCCTCTCTCTCTCTCTCTCTCTCTCTCTCTAAAATAAAATGTTTTTAGTGAGAGAAAGAAAGAGAAAGAAGGCTATATAGAAAAAAACCCTTCTCCGAGAGTTTTTGCTCTTCGTTCTCTATCCTTCTCTCTCTCTACACCAAACTCTCTCTCTCTCTCTAAAACAAAAAACTGAAGATGAAGAAGAAGATTGGAGAAAATTAAAATGGGGGGTGTGATGAAGAAAATTGAGGAGAGAGAAAAAACCTAGTTGGAATTTATATTAGTAATTGGGTTTGTGTTATCTGAATATATCTGCATGATTGACTTCCAAAAAGCTATTTCTCATCATGCCCAACAAAACTACAAAACCAGAATTGGAGAGAGAAAAAAAGGGTTTTGTAATTTCTAGCTTCAGAAAGTGGAGAGAGAAAGTAGAGAGAGAGAGAGAGAGAGAGTAGTACAGTTGTATGTATGTATGTGTGTAAGAAGAAAACAAAAGAATGGAAGATAATACCCGCAATACTATGTGTGGAGTCTTGTAACTTGTAATCCCACATATACACACACACACACACATATATATATATAAATAAATGATATAAAATATATAGAAAAAAGAAAAGTAGAGAGAGAGAAAAAGGGTCCGGGTAAGGGTTGACCTGACCCTTTCACTAGTCACACAGACACACACACACACAAATAAATCAACTTTTTCTCCGTCTTTTGAAACTTTCCAACTATGACTGCAGTGAAATTAAATATTGACTTTCCTCTTTGTTTAGAATGAATATTAAAGAGTAAAAACAGTAAATGGTTTTATCACAGATGAATTTTGCTTTCACGGAGATTCATATCAGAACACGCGCACAGATGTATATACATACAACTGGCTCTGTTCCCATGTATAACGATAAGAGGTGTGGTGATTACATGGAGATTATGATGATACATATATCACTTAGAACAATATCTTATGATGTAGTGATGTCTGCTTTGTTTAATTATTTGCTTTATTTCTCATTTATTTGGTAAGTGACAGTTATAATTAATAAAATAAATATTACCTAGTACAAATTATTTCCTTTTTCTTTTAAATTACGGCCACCTCCCTAAGTTGATGTCAAATTACAAAAGCTCCTCATTTTTTGGTAATTACAACCACTCTTCAACTATGACTCATCTTACGCGTCCACCCTTACACGTCAACCCTTACGGCGTCAAATTTAACGAAATCTTCTAGATTACATATAATATTCTATAGTTTGTATTCGTTTTATGCAAAAATGCAGTTCCAGATGCACCACAAATTTTGATGTTTACAAGCCAAGAGACACATATTATGATCATCTTGTTTCAAGATGTGGAGTTGGAACGAGATAAAACGGGTACAAATTGGAGAATATTCCACATAATGTATAAGATTATGTTAAGTTTGACACCGTAAGAGTGAACATGTAAGACTATTCATAGTTGAAAGGTATAATTGTAATTACCAAAAAAATGAAGTTCTCACAATTTGACTTAACCTCAGGGAGTTGGGCGCAATTTACTCTATTTATTTATTTATTAATTGATAATTGTATATTGACAAATTAAACAAGAATAGAATAAACATATTTTATAAAAATCTATATATAGGGCCGGGCCTAGTTGGTTGAGATGGGTTTATTAGGTTTAGCATCTTGCCCAACTCATTATGGGCTATTATAGTTAGGTGCATATAATTAAATGTTAACTCCGCCTAACACTAAAATTACTAAATTAACCCATCCACTAAATAAATAAATAAAACAATTTCTAATTTATATCCATCTTTTTTTTATTGAATTAAAGTTTAGATGTCTATGCTCAAGGAACATATTTATTTAAATAAAAAAATTAATTCTTGTTTTAAATAAATAATAATAAGGAAATTAACTCTAACTTATATACATACAAAATCTTGTAATAATCTCACCACCTTATTTTTCTCAAATGAATGCCATTCATGAAACTGTTTAAAGGGCATTGAAAACCTGAACTTTATCTTCGATCCTATTTTGTACAGCTTTTAATTTATTTAATTAATAACTATTTAATACGATAAAAATAATGAAAATTAATTATAATGGGGTAGAAAGGCTTTAAACAAATTGAGAAACCAATACCTTTTTGTGGTTAAATGCATATCTTCACTAACTTTGATCCGAGTAGTTCACAAATGTGACATTCTTTAAAGTGATCCAATAAATAATAATCAAATCAAATTAAATACGGTGTAATATAACATATAAATCGAAAATATTTTTCCGGAGAACCGGAAAGAGAGCGCTTCTAAGAACCCAAATAGCCGGTAATCGTACATTTGAAGGTCGGGTTGGGTCGGGTGGTTCGGACCCATGAGCTGGTTGGTTGCAATGCATGGACATGTCTATTGACCAGGTATATACAGTCAAACCTCTTTAAATTAATAGAATTGAGACTAACAAAATTATATTAATTTAGTGAAATATTAAATTATCGGACTAATAATTTAGTACACTTTTACCGAGTGGGGACTGAACAAAACTGTTATTTCAGCGAGATTATTAATTTATCGAGATCCTACTGCATATCGTATATGCATGGGATCAAGAAGGGGTCAGGATATTGTGGTGGATGAAAAAAGGTGGCCCAAAATTATTTATTGTATCTAAATTGATAGAAAACTGAGGGGGTCAGGGCCCCCCAAATCAAGTTTTTTTTTCAACAAAAGATTGATGTTATCTGGTTTAGGTTAAGTTGTACTTCATCTCATATAGAATTGTTTCTGCTACTTCAAACTCACATAATTCAGCAAGTTCTCACCGAGTTAGAACCGAAAGAATTTATTATTTAAGCGATGTTAATGTTATTAATTTATTTTGTACTGCTGCAATAGCATCTAATAATAAAGTTCAATTATTATGGATTTTGTGCTAAAACCTAAGACCAACATTCAATAATAGAGCTTTTAATTTGGTGTTTACAACATTTACTGCTCATCTAATTTATTCAAAGTCCCTACCTAATGCTAATAAACCAGTCAAATGGTTGACTCAAAATAATATAACTCCAACTGTTACATTCAAGATGCAAATAAAATAATATAATATTATAATCTCCATAAAAATTCAATAGTTTTAGCAACAATCATCTCCTACAAACATATACTTGAGATCACATTATACATATAATAGCAGCCTAACGCTACAAAATTCGAAATCGGACAAGCCAAAAAGATCGAAATTCCAACCATTTTCACATACTTCGCAGTGTAAACATGTCGATTTAGCTTTTTACATTTTCTTTTTATCACAGTGAAAACAAAAACCACTTCTAAGATAAATAGATGTAAGCGCGCTACAGAACTAACTGCACAGAACTGCAGGGAAGTGTACAGCCGATCAATGTAGAAGAATTACGTAAGTTGCAAACGGAGTTTCTTTTTTTTTCAATGGGATGAAGAAGGCAGCTTCCACAAGCTCTTTGTTGCCACCAGAATTCTCTCCTTTCCGTGCGATTCGGGTTCTTTGTCGTGTATAGAAGCCTTCCATCTTATAGCATGAGAAATACGGTATACTTTGTCTATCACTTCAGGCGAATCTCGAATGACGACTTTGCCCTCCGGGCGCAATATTCTGTCGATCTCCACCATCAAATCTACCATGTTACACCTGCAATATTCGAGGGTTAAAATAGTAACTTCCTATGAGATTGATGAAAAAAAGAAATCAAAAGAAGGAAAAACTAGCATACCTGTTCTTTCCAGAAACAGGATCTTTAATAAGAGACTCTATAGCATCTATATGAATTAGATCGTACGTACGAGGGTACGTTGAGAAAGGCTCACACCTGAAATCGTTAACAATAATGAAATAATTAAAAATTAATTAAAACAAAATTAATTCATAACATTTACTGCAATTTCGAATTGCTAAAAAACTACCCCATGTTACTTTATTGGCAAAAAAAACCTATGATTTACATTTTTTATAGCAATTAGTACCCCTCTGTAGGGAGGGTGGGGGCGGTTGCTAATAAAATAACATGGGGTAGTTTTTTTGCAATTCGATATAACATAGGGGTACTAATTGCAATAAACGCTAACAGTTAAAACTTGAAATACATCAAATTTCAAGAAATGAATAACATAACAGTGTTAATTCCACTCACCAATCATGGTAAACTCCAATAAGCCCTCGGTCAAAAATGACATCGAGTGTGGAAGGCTTTCGAGCGGGGACCACATTCATCACCCAAACGGGATCGGATATTATTGCAGCTGCAAAGCCTCCGAAGAAAGCGTTCATGTCCATGACATTTCGTATCGATGGAGTACCGAGTTTTATGTTCAACGAATTCTTGTAATAAGCAACTCTCCTAATCCACCTTCTCTTGTCAGCTTCGAACACATCGAGCCCGTTTTTAATCACACTGGCTCTTGCAGGAGCTGTTGTCAATCTCTCGGGCCATTTCGGAATCGACCCAACAGCATATTCTCCCTTAACGGAAGATGTCCTGCTCGCACATTTCTTCAACTTAATGTACCTGCAAAATTCATAATCATTACTTAAGCTTACGTTCAAAATCCGACTAATCATGATTCACGATTGTGCCCAAAAATGTGGATATAGATACATATTATATTACCATGCAAAACTTGGGTCGTCAGATTCATCACACAATTCAATCCCAAATTCATTTTGATTAGGAAGACACGAATCGCCATTCGGCTTTTTCCAAATGACCGTGTTTCCATCTACAACAATGAGCTCGTAACACAGTGATCTGGCAACTGCCTGCAAATCGGCCCATTCTTTATCTTGTTTAGGCCACTGTACAGGTGGACCCGAAATGACTAGGTACCCTCCTGGCCGAAGTAATCGGTCAACTTCAAGAAAATACGTCGCATCTGCAAAAAAGCAACAAGTGTTCTTTGTTACAAACGAGATGCAATATATTTTAGAAAAATCCAACAAAACGATAAAGAGGGAAAAAAACTCACTATATGCAGTGAAAGGAATCAAACAACGAGAGCAGTGGACCAAATCGAAGGAGAAACCAGGAAAGGGAAGTCTAAGTGTGCCGAGCATCGCAACAAATGCCGGTACCCCTCTCTCCAAAGCAAACTGTATCTGTGCTTTGTGGGAATCTCTTGGAGCAAAAGAAAGAGTTACAATTCCTTCGGCGAGCATGTACCCACCGAAACTAGCAACCTACAAAAAGAAACGAATGACTTTAGAATTTTTCAAAAAAGATAAAAATTCGTAAGTAAAAGGAAGGTTTCATTTTCATTACCCCACATCCCATATCAAGAGCTGTCCTTAGATTTCCACTAGCAATGGGAATATACTGTTTGAGTTTTTCGATGTATTGTACTGCTCCGTCTGGGAACATTGTGCCGCCACCTGGAAATATGAAATACGGACCTTCTTTTTTCATCCATCCTTGGTGGCCTTTTCTATCGGCTATTTTATTGTATGGCATGTTATCATGCCATATCTGCATCGTAGAATTGAGCAATGATTGTGTAAGAAAAAATGGTACCCTTCAATTTCTTCGAATAGATAATTTAGACGAGCTTTCGCAATACGTTGCAGCAAATGCAGTGTATGTTCATTTTAGATTGACATAAAATCAAAGACTCAATCGTAAACTCCGATCACATTGCAAAAGAGTAATTTAACATTCACATTTAGACTCGAGCTCAAAACACATAATTCGACCGGAAAGCCATACGTTCGACAGCATTCATCAAAGCCCCATTAGCTTATTTTAACACATAATAATCAAGCTAAGATCAACATTTAAAGACAATGCCAATCCCTAAAATGCACCCAAAATTCCTAGAAAATCAAAAACCAACTACATAAAAATTGCTTCTAATCGAACAATTAAGGAATCAATAAATTGAAAAATAATGTAAATCATTTCACCTTGTGCAAACTTTCCGGCCACTGGACCGATACACGGTACCCTTCCGGCGGCGGGATCAAACAAAGCGGCGTTTCAGTCGGCAGAGGGCAATGCCTCTCCCTATAAAAATTCATCTCCCTGCTAAGCTGACTATTAATTCTGGGATCCTCACAAGGCATGTGAGCCACCATGTCGGCGGGGCAAGCGTCGATCGCCACCGCCTGCCGCCCAAGCTCGACCAGCGCCACCAATCTGCCGCGGTGCCGCGGATCCGAGCGCAGGAGCGTCTGCCTCCCCGAAGCCGCCAGCGAATCGCCCAGCGGGGTGAAGACTAAGAGGAAAAAGAGCAGGACTGCTGCGAAGAAGGCGGCGGTGACTATATCCAACAGACGCCATTGCCGCGCGTGGCGGTTCTTCGAGGACGAAAGATTTAAGAGCCCCATTTTTTTTTCGGATTTGTTGTCTTCTTCGAATTCAAGATCTCATTTTTTTCACGCGAAACATACACACACAGTGGGACGTGTATGTGTGTGTTTTTTCCAGTGAAGATCTGAAGTTTGGGGACTGTGTGTGTTTTAAGAGATTCAGGATCGACTGTTATTTTAAATTAATATTTATTTTATTATTAATTTTGGCTGCGGTGGGATTAGTATAACCAAACACGGCGTCGTATACATGTAACACATAAATAATGCAACTTGCATTAATAATAAAATAAAATGTTAAAAGAACAAAAAAAAAGATTAAAAAGTTGAAAATTTTCAATTTTTTTTTTTTTGATAGTTTTGAAAATTTTCGAATTAAATCAACGGAACTGGATTTTTTATTTTTTAATTACTTGTGATATAAATAAATAATGCAGGGATTATAGACTAAGAAACAAAATTAATTAAAAATAGAAAAGTCATTGAAACTTAATTTAGATTGGAGGAAATTACCGTTTTCATCAAGTTTGCACCAATTTCACATTTGGTCACCATGTTTACATAAAACATATTTGATCCCTCATGTTATAATAATTTAACATTTTTTATCATTTCAGTCAATTTACCGTTAGTTCTTTAGTTTAGGCAGTTATGGGCACTGACTTAATTCCGTCATTTTTGACGGAAAATTGACTAAAAATGTTGAATTCTTTTACAACATAATTGACCAAATGTATTTTTTATGAACATGGGGATCAAATGTAAAATTAATGCAAACTTGAGAGACAAAAACTGTATTTTTCCCATTCAGATTGATTTTAAAATATAAACTTGGAAAATTGTTGGATATTACTCAAAAACAAGAGTAATAAATTAATAAGACGAATTAGACGCTAAAGACAAGAGGATAAATTAGTAATAACACAGAAATAACCATAATTTTAAAATATTCAAGACAAAAAAAAGAAATCCACAGTAATTACAAATAAATATGCTCTAGATTAAAACTGACAATGAAGGCTTCAAAACCCGAAAGAAAAAAAAAACCATTTGTCGAATTTCGTCATGACGCACGCTCGGAGAGCCAATGTGCTTCTAGAAGATTCAACACTTTCCGGAATTCTATTTTTCAGAGCATATAAATCTTCCAAAAATAGATTTAAAAAAAAAAAACTTGCATAGCTCTGATATTCTCATAGAATCCCTCAAACTATACATTATTCTAATGCTTCCGTGATGACTTAAGACTATACTCATGCTTGATTAGGTTTGCTCTCAAAAGCATGGCTCTTACTTCCTGGTCAAACTCACTCCCGGTTTGTAGGACCCGCTGGAACGTGCCATTCCTCTGATCAGCATGCCGAGCATACAGAATTTTGTTATGTGAGTCGATTCTAGCCTGCAAGATTAAATAATCATCAGCCGAGTATAAAGCCTAATTAATCCCTTAATTCCTCGTTAGGGAATTAAGATATGCAATAATACAATCAAGGGATTCTCAAATATTTCGGGGTCATATATTTCGGGTTTTTGAATCCTTTGAAGGATATTGCCCAAGAATCTTGAATTCAAATCATAAGATAATCACAATCATATCCGATTAAATCAATCTTATGTTGATTACCTGTATTTGGTCGTTAGTGATGAGACCGGCTAGCTCTTTCTCAAGGCCTGTGACACTTGAATTGAAGGCATTTGCCATCATATTAAGGTCAACGGAGACAAATGGGAGGGTGTACTGAATGATAGCTTTGCTGCGTATTTGCTCGTATAGAGTCTCCACATGATCATGTAAATGGATATCGAGCAACAAGTTTGCCTTGAGATTTCCTAGATATTCCAGACAGGATGCATAGTGGCTGCATTAAAAAAAATCATGTCATAAGACACATAGTCAAACAAGAAATTAAGATGCCAGTAGATTTTAATCAACATTTCGTTACATGTAAAACCGAATTTATCTACCTAGTATGGAAGTCGTTAATGAGCTCCCTTATTTCCGGTACCAATTCCAGGAAATTCCTGAAGTTAACGTTGTCAATAACTTTGCTCTGCCAAAATGAAACAGTTTAGATTGTAAGAAAATTGAAATTCGCAAATGTAATGAAGCTTCACCGAGAAATAATTAGAGAAATAAAAGAACAGTAAGTCTGCCTTCAGTTCAGCACGATCAAAAGTTGCAAGTGCACATAGACTGCCATAGGTAGCAATATCTTGGGGTGCAATTACTTCTGTGTAGCTGTTCCCTAGTTCCGGGCCAGTTTCCAGGAACTGTAAATATCGAAAGAAATTTCAGGGAGATCAAGGGGATTATTAAAAGAAAAGTATACAACGTAGCAAGATAAGTTGGCAATAAGATAGAGATGTAAACAAACGCTGAGCATTGAAGTACTTCGTTATCCAATTAACCAAATGGGTGCAGAATAATATTCAGGCAATTCAATTTCCTATTTGTTTGTCTTTTCTACATTATATTTCTCTATTCGTTCATAATTTGTATCCAACAAGTTGTTCTCAGTTGGAAAAAGCACAAGGTAAGGTATCTTCACTACTTGGACGTAGCATTAAGTTCAAACACGGAACACCTATGCTTAGGAGCGTATACATATCTACAAAGCATTTTCTACCTATGAAGAATACTGTGTATACCCTCTCAGACAATTGCAACCAGACTTCAAGAAACTGGATACATATAACATGAAAAGGCTCAACAAGCTAAACATGTTCCGTACTCATTTCCTATTTCCCGCTTATCGACAATAAACAACATAATCAATGCACCATGGTGTAAGATATTTATCATTTCTGAACTCATACAGCACAGTTTTTAATTGTTTATCCAAGTTTGAAGGGAAGATTAGTAGGCAAACCTTTCGAGCAGCAAGCTTATATTTTTTCCCTTCCAGGTGAGCCAATCCAGCAGCACAGCGTAGCTTTGCAATTGTAACAGGGTCCAAGGCATCTTGGCTTTGCTCAGCCTTGCTAACATAGCTAGTAACATGAGTGAATTGACCCATCTCAATGCTCACCAGAATTGCATTCAAACACATATGAACAATATGTTTAGATGTAGTGCAGTAGTCACGTGTGCGGACATAATTCTTAAATGCTTCTCCAAGCTGACCATGCAGGTAGTAAAAATCTCCAAAATCATTGTATCCCATCCGAATGCTTTCTTTGATCAAATTTGTCTGCACACGAGGAAACAAAGGTGAGGAGATGTAAGCAGAAGAATAAAAAGGTAAAAAAACATAAAGCTATGTGGAGTTGCAGCATTTGGCATCCATATATATGTTAACGTCTTAGTCTAGTTGTCTGATTGGTGAGAGGTTGGGGGTTCGAATTCCTTTGGGTGCGTGTGTTGTACGGCCATTTAAAAAAGGATTAATGCTCTGAAAAGTTTCAGAAAGTTAATATTTCATGGTGCAAGACAACTACAAGAACAAAGGACGAGAAACGTATTTAGTTCTCCAGCAGGCAAAGTAATCACAACCCTGACAAAATCAGTGACTGAACAAAATCTCATTCGGCAACGACGTAACATCTTAAGAAAGATGAGTTAAAAATACCAAATAAAGCAAGTCGAATTCAGAAAAAACCAGTTTCATCAACTATATCGTAACATCTTAAGAAAGATGAGTTAAAAATACCAAATAAAGCAAGTTGAATTCAGAAAAAACCAGTTTCATCAACTATATCAAATCGCTTGCAACATAAAAAATGGAATATCATCAAAATGGATAAAACTTAAAAAGTGGAATACAAAAATCACTGAACAGTTCTTTCCACAGAGATCATCAACACATGCACTATAGATGTCAGGCAATTCACAAAAATGAAAAAATGAAAGATTATGAAAATCAGATCACAACTAGAATTATCTTAGTATATAACACAGAACGTCTAACAAAATTAGCATAAAATTCATCAATTGCAGAAAAAAAACATAACAAGCAAAATATCACAACAAAAACTACAAACACTCATTAATTTCAGTTCTGAAATACAATTTCCATAGATACAACAAATAAAGTGTTTGTTTAGCAGGAGTATTAGACATTCCGGAACACTACTGAAACTCAAGATTTCCCGAAGTATTTGGCAACCCAAACCGACGCCATAAAATCTTAATAATCTCAATTTAGAATCAGTTATATCTTGCAAAAGAAAAATCAAAGAACAGAAAAACTCGGAGTCGATTCTAAATCTCTATTTTTCTATAATTAATACTCCAAAAAAACTGTCCAAACCGACTTCAAAATCCAGATATGAATGCATTGAGCATCTCTCTCAAAGTGTCAGTACTATCAATCAATCATATACAAGTATGCAAACACAGTCAAGATAACATAGTTTCATTGCAGCGAAATTCAGGAGATGACTAGCAAATTCAATATATGATTCAATTAACACTAACAACAGCGAAAGAAAAAAACACAGCATTATTTTGATCGTGTAGATTGCATTGGTAAGATAATCACTATACCCTGTAAGCATTGAGTTCGTTTTCGAGCTTCTCCCTCCTCAACTCGGCCCGCCGGTCGACGGCATCCGCCCAAGCATTATCCGGCCCATAATTAGGCCCCAATCGGCCAGCAATCTTCGCTAAAACATCTCTGAACAGCTGCGTGTTCTCCCCCTTCTTAATCTCGTCATAAGCCATTCGCAGAGCCTCCAGCTGCATCGACGGGACGCCGCACTTCTCGGCGATGAAGAGGAGGCGGGTGACTTTCGTGCGGCCGGTGTACAGAGCCGCGTACGCCTCGACATCGAGCTGCTCGCCGCTGATGATAGGGCGGTGGCGCTGCGATGATTGGGCGTCGTTTCCGCCGTTGATGCAGATCTCGTCCTCGTCGATGATAGTCCCCGCAGTATCGTCTTCCGCTTCCATTGTTGAGTACTAAAACGACGTAGTAACCTAGGGTTTTTAGTTGCTTCTGGTTTCCTTCTTCTCTCTCGTTTGCTGGTTGAAATTTCGAGGGTGCAAAAGTGTGTGTGTGAGAGAGAGAGAGAGAGAGAGATTGATAAGGAAGTGGGCTTCGCACGTGCGGCTTCATGGTTCTGCTTTAATTGTTGGATCGAACATAGGTTTGTGGGCCGGGCTTTTTGCTACTATCTGATATACGGCCCATTTGCAATTTCTCTTCCCAATATTCGTAAAAGTCGTGTTGCCTTTCTTTCACTTGTTAAAATCGCTATCCGCTTGACTATAATATATATTTCAAGATATTTTGTTGGAAAAGATATAATTTGTTGATATTATTGAGATATTTTGTTGCCAAAGATATAACATATTGATATTATTGAGATATTTTGTTGGAAAAAATATAATATGTTAATAGTAGTTATAAATGAGACGATATTTTTATTTTGTTTTTTACATAGGAACCAACATCCACATATTTGGACCGGATAAACAAACTAGAGTAACAAAAAATAAATGGAAACTTCAACTTCTTAACGTATTCGCTTTTCGGACACGTTTTATATCCGACACTCCAGGGCATCTCTCGGACACCTTATGGATCATTTTGCAATTTCTGAAAAATTAAAAACATGTTTGAATAGCGAAATTACAAATATATTTTTTTTCTCTAATTATTTACATGATTTAATGATCAATTGCATATTGATAATTGATAATAATATATATATTTTCAATGAATTTGTATGGAAATGTATTAAAATAACATATATAAATAAAATCTAAAATATGTTTATATAACATATTTATAAATATACTCTCTATACTTTTAATATTTAGACGTTTTCCCCAAGTTCTCGTATCCCCATTATTTGAGGCACGCGACTTTTAATATTTAGACGTTTTCCCCAGGTTCCCGTATCCCCATTCTTTTGGGACATGCGACTGTTTCCCCGTAGCGCCGTTACTGGATCCGTGCTACATAGCGACAGGCTATGATGTTTCACTGTTTGTTAACCTATCTAAGAACATAGCTTTTCTTGAAGGAGTGAAAGGAAAGAAGAACATTAAAAATGTTCTAAAAAACTAGCATTGATTGATTCCTCAAATTATGTACAACAAGCATCCATCTCTACAACAAACTAGCAAGAACACGAGCTCACAAAATCTTCGAAAACTAAAAGCAAACAAAAAAATACCGAGACGAAGGAAAAACAAAAATCGTCTCCGGTGCTAAATAAATAAATAAAACACCCTCTGATCTTCAGCTAACAATCTACAACTTCTTACAAGATTCACCGTCTACGAAAATCAACTCTTTTCCCAAACCGGTCGGGCATATCAAAACAGAATCAACACACAAACCACCTTTGGTGTGCGTACAGTCAATCTGCGTCAACGAGAATTTGATCTTGGTCAACGCGTTCGAGTCCTCGACGACAAAATCTCCGACGTGGTAGTTTATCCAGTGTCCTAGGTTATCCAACATGCACCTGGATACAGACTGATGCCCATCCTCTGTAGTTAACTGAAACTGAGCAGGCTTTAAATCCCAGCCATGTACATTATCAAGATTACGAATCCTACGGTTGGATTTCTTTCCGACTCTACCGAGATGGAGTCTGAAGAACATGCTGTAAGTTCCTTTCGGGAATTTGAACTCGAGATTCCCGTCCACTTCGAGCCACCATATTTGTTGTAGATAAGCCACTGTCTGAAATCTACATGAACAATAAAGAAATAAAATAAGGTTCATAATCCTTGGACAAAAAAAAAATTGATTTTTTTTAATTTTTTTTTTTTTTTGCAGCTGGAATGTAATTCCAACATACATATACATATATCAGAAATACACACCTAGATTCATCAGTTGGAATGTGATTCCAATACCGCCGATCATCTATTCCGGTTATCGACATAGCCTTTGAGGAAATTGCCAAACAAACCCCTCCTGTTCTCTTATCTATCCAAACTTCCTATTCAATTAAAAAAAAAAATCAAAATTAGATTTCGCAAACTCTCATAACCTAAAAAACAGTAATAAAATAAGTGAAATTTGGCCCCAAAAACACACACACACACACACACCTTGGTGCCACCATCGAAAGAATTAGGTCTGCACAGACCGCCATACATGACCTTCTTGCCCTTGTCCGCAAGGCCTAGATCAGGCAATTTGTCGAGGATATAGTTGTAATTGGAGGGGAATTTCGGAATCCAGATGAAATCCGCCGAAGCTGCAGCCCTAAAAGCGCGGTTGACTCGAGCCATCTTCGCGATCTCCGGCGGGTCCAAGTATGAGAGGACCAGTGCAATACAACATTCCGGTATATCCTCCAATTTAGGCCTTTGACTCGAGCCGTCGGAACTTCCCGGCGGAGAAGAAGCGTTTGCGCCCATTTTGATCGCCGGAAGAAATTGGGGGGTTTCTAGAGAGAGAAAATTGAAGGGAAGGTATACGGTTATTAAAGTGAGAACACGAGATTCAGTTATATATAGACAGAGCATCCGCTTTTAGAGCGAGAAAGTGAAGTGTGAAAATGTGAATGGGAGAAAAGTGAAGGATATCAGATATGTAATCGCCTGCATCGGATATGTATGGGTTTCTGTGCACCCGATTTTTTAGATATTGCTTTCCTCTCTTGTTTCATTATGTACAGTTCCTTGAAGTGGTCAACTATGGTGTGGGCATAGTCATTATTTGGGTCGAATTGAATTCCAAATGGTAACGGGTAGGGCCATCCGTCAGTTATTTGGTTAATATTATCATGAATCGTCATCTAACAACCGATCCAGATCCAGATCCAGAAGTTAAATGATACGAACGAACGTTATTTTATTTTTATTTCTTTTAATAATAATCTACGTTTGTGATTGGTTGATCGAGTTTGACTCGATTTGAGGATTAGACCATCCAAACTAACTATTATATCGTGTCTATTATAAATCGAAGGTTGGACAAATAAGCCAATACATAACCGTAATCAAAGTTGTATTTCGAGTGATGGATTAAGAGTCACGATTTTTCGACACATACATTTATTTAAAGTTGAATTGAATACTTAAATAGTAAAACATCGATAAATTAATAACAACACTTAAATAATTGTTTTTTCCTGATTCCGATCCGATGAAAACATACTAAATTAATAGAATTTTATTAGTCTCGACAATATTAATTTATAAATGTTATAAATATCAATTTTATTTTAATACAATTTATTTATTAGAGTCATGTGATACATTCTTGGTATTACACTCCTCTGGGTTCTCTTTTTTCAAGTATTCAATAATTTGCTTGGTCAATATGGTGAGCAAGCCGGTTGAGCCAATCAAAGTGGAATTTAAGAGAAATGGAAGGGAATTGCAGGGAGTGGTACCGGAGAGAAAGAGGACGGACGGCTTGTAGGAGGAGCTGACGTGGAAGCCAAAGGTTCTTATCCAGTTCCACTTGGCTTACAACTTCTGACATAAAGTTGCCACTTGGCTAATAATTAATTCGGACTCAACCAAAATAGAAATAACAAAAAAAATAATAGTATCATTGTTCAGAGTAAACTGCAAAAACTACCCCTGTATAATCTCAAAATAGCAAAAACCCCCCTGTGATAAATAAACTAGCAAAAACCTCCCCTGTGAAATTATTTAAATAGCAAAAACCCCCCTATGGAACTATTTGAGGGTTGACTTGATATAAAAAGACACAAATACCCCTGGAGTCTTGCAATTAGTAAATTCTTATATTTTATAAATATTTTAATTATTTTATTTAAAAAATAATCAATTTAGTTGTTTACTATTTTTTTTTAATTTCTAAACAAATAAATTAAAAAGAATAAATATACATATAATATGTATATATATAAATACATTTTGAGGGACAATTTTGTCATTTCAAGTCTAAAAAATCAGCTAGGGGGGATTCTGCCTTTGACTAAATTTCACAGGGGGGTTTTTGCTAGTTTATTTATCACAGGGGGGTTTTTGCTATTTCAAGATAACACAGGGGTAGTATTTGCAGTTTACTCTCATTGTTCATCCTAATAATTGATACTAGCTTGATTGTTGTTGCTCATACAAATATATTTTAAGAAATAAAATAAAAATATTGTAGACCATCCAACTTAAATTGTGTATATCTATGATTAATTTGGATAATCTAACTAACCTCATTTTTATTTCTTTGGAATTACACAACTATTTTTTTTTTTTGGATTGCATTTCAAAACTGACAAATCAGAGAATCAGTAGAAAAAGAAACGAACTAAACAAATGAGTAATACAAGAAAAAAAAATATAATTGAATTGTTTTGCAATAAAAATTGCAGCTAGATTTGCGAGGCGTGGAATTCATTTGTTGGTTTATTAGTGGATTATAATTTATGACTGAATACCAATCTGCTAGATTTGCTATGAGAAATACGCTAGAAAATACGAGGAGATAAATAAAAAAAATGGAAATATTATTTTGAAAAAAGACGAAATTATTATATAAATACGATTATTTTTTTTTAAGTTGCCATAGCATTTTTGTGATCCAGTCTGATTTTCATCCCTAAATATATACATTTACAAAATATAATAATTTAATTATATATGAGCCTCTTATCCATATTCATAAATTTATGTGGCCGACGCAATTTTGGTCACAAAAAAAAATGATTACATGTCCTATTCTCTTGTCCATGCACTATGCACTTTTCCTTTAATTAATTAATTAAAAAAAAACAAAAGCACCACAATAAATTAAATTAATCCAGCAAAAGTGAAATTTAAATAGTAGCATGTAATAGTGTAACGCTGTAAAATATATAGTATGTGGTTGTTGCTTGCTTCGGCATTATTATAATAATATAATAATTAGCCTTACTCAATTATGATTACAATATATAATTAATTAGCAAAGTTGGGGATGTGGATCTGAGTCAGCAAAATTTCGTAGGCCACAAATGTGACTCAGTTCCGATCCAAGTACACGTCACCATTTTAAACAAATTTGTGTGTGTTGGGTGCAGGTGATCTAGTACTAGATACAATCTAATTTGCTACTCGACAACACTCTACTAATTAATTATTATTTTTATTATTAATTATATAATTCTCTGGGCCTAACAATCTACTAATTAATTAATTAATTAATTAGTTATTTATATCACTGCACAAAAATAGAAGGAAAGTTGAAAGACTAAACCGCCACCGTATACAAACCAGCCACCTTCTTCCGCCACTTTCTTCAATCACCGTCGCTAACGCCGCTGGAAAATATGTTGTTGCCACTACTAAGAGGGTGTCTGGCTAAGCTTATAAGATGTTAAAAGGAGCTTATAAAGTCTTCCAAAGTGTTTGGTAAATTTAAAAAAAAAAATCTTAATTTTTTTTTAAATAAGATGTTGGAGACCAAATAAGATATCTAATAAGTACCTCTACCCCACATTTTTATTTAAGATCTTATAATAAGTAAAAATAGGAAATAAACTTATTATCCAAACACTCTAAAAATTAATCATAAAAATAAGATATAACAGCTGATCAGCTCTAAAAACATCTTATCAGACGTAAGAGTTTATCAGCTGTTTAAAATAAGATTAGTCAAACACCCTCTAAGTCAAATGGATGTGAATCCCACTTTGCATCCTTGAACTGTAGCATTCTGACAATTTACATTCTCGAAGTAAATCTATAGAACTTTGCATCCTCGAAACACGATAAATCATGCACCATGCACCATTAACATATATTATTAATACTTAATGACAATAATTTTATAAAAGATAAATTTGATCTTTTGCATCCTAAAAAATACCGCTAAAAATATTAAATTATCTTCATTAATTGAATTCATTCAGGATGCATTGTGGATGATTTGTTGTGATTTAGGGTGAAAATTGCTATTAATTTTGTTCGAGGGTGCAAAGTGACAAAATACTATATTTCGAGGGGGCAAAATGGAATTAAGCTTATATATAACGTTGGTGGCCATATTTTAGATAAGCCCAAAAAGTTAGATTGGGCTCAATAAATTAAAAAACAAAATGCCCAACAAAATGGGCCTAATTCTCACATGCTACAAAAGGTATACTCGTCTGGCTAAATTCTAATATATGACATTAATGTTGAAATTTTAAATATTTAAAAGCGTTTATTAGGGATAACCCCCTTGTTCATATTTTCTAATGAGGTAGATCCAATTTTTTTTCCCCTTTTTGAGATAGACCCAATTTTGCCAACTTGGCAAAATATATTATATAATTTACCTTTAATACCCCTGTTTTATTTTTAAACGGCTTTTATTTCCTTTACTACTTGATTTGAGATTTGCTGATACGTTGCCTAAAATCACGGAATAAAATTACGTGAGATCATTGGCTGTTATATCAAATCGTGTACAATATTTTTCGAAGGTTCTCTTCAGCGTTCCAGCGGTTTTTTATCGTCTTTGAAGATTTCTGCACCGTCGTTGAAATAGGATCGAATTTGAGCGTTCGTTGTTGGACGTTGTTAACCGGGTATGAATGCGTTATTCGTTTTTATTTTTCGCTCAATGTCTAGGATTGTCGATTACGGTGGTTAGAAATTTTTAAGAGTTGTGTTGATACTTGATTCTATTAAGTAGAACGTTTTTTAACAAAATTATTCCGTCATATATACATCGTTATTTTTTGGCGGATGATGTTTGTTTGGAAGAGGATTGACAGAGTTAGATGAGGATGGTTCACGCATATCGGACCAGAGTTGTTTTATATGAACATCGTAGTTGGTTTACGCATTAATTGAAATAACTGTCCGCTGTGGTCGAGTTCATGTTTTTTATTCCGATCGATAGTTGGTTTATTTGTTTATAACAGCCGATTTAAGTGTGCTGGGTAGTACATTAAAATATAGTTCGTAGTCTTTTTTAAATTAGCGTATGGATTTTGCATTTTAAGTTTATTTTTGATGATATTAATGTATTGTCATTCCAATGTATTTGCAGTCTATTTAATCATTTTTTAGTATTCTGCATTTTTAATTTTGTTTCATGATTTTAGGTTTTTTCGATGGCGAATTTCGTACGGATTTTGTTGAGGTTTGGTGGGTTGGTTGCTATAAAGAGGTGTTTACGATGTAATCGCTCGGTAACTTCGGTTAAGTTTTAAACCGTTTAATACAGTAGTATACTATTATGAATACCGTATGATACTACCATTATCATTTTATTATACTATTATGAGATTATTAATGTACTAGAGTTTTTTAACTCGACATATTGGTTTGATTGTGTTATGATGTGTTTTATGTATTTTATCAAAACCCTAGATTGAAATTATGGGATTATTAATGTACTATTTTATTGGTTATGTTTGAATACTTTAGTGTTGTTCTCAATGTTCTTGTCATTTCAGTGGTATATTTTTGTAACACAATTCATATCACTACTATAACCGTAATATACTATCATAGCAGATCAATGTACTATATTGAAATTATTAATATACTATGTGGTTGAATACTACGGAATCCATAGTCGATTAACGAGATCCATAGTCGAATTAGATCAATAAGATAGTCTATTACATGATACAAGGAAAATTACCCTAATTAATTGATTAGTATTTCAAACAAACATATTATTCAGTTTCCATATATATTATTATTTTTTCATATATATTATTATTTACCTTAATCGTTTTCATATAATAAGGAAAATTACCCTAATTGATTAGCATTTCAAACAAACATATTATTCAATTTCCATATATATTATTATTTTTCCAATAGTCAATTAACTAAACCCATAGTCGAATTAGATACATGGGATAGTCTATTAAAAGATATGAGATAGTCTATTAATTTTAAAACACAAATCCGCCGCCGTCACTTCTCAAATCTAGGGTTTTGATGATTCTTCGGCCCATAGTTGATTAACGAGATCCATAGTAAAATTATACCAGTGGGATAGTCTATTAAATGATATGGGATAGTATATTAATACAGATGTAATTCGACTATGCATCTCGTTAATCAACTATGGGCCGAAGAATTATCAAAACCCTAGATTTGAGTAACCCTAGATTTGAGCAGTGACGGCGACGGCGACGGCGGCGGCCAACGACGATATCACTTCTGGTGGATGTCCTGCCCATCAATTGTTGCAATATCACTGATTTAGTGCTCGAATTCGGTATGCAATTATAACAGATCTGCAATTACACAAACGTGATAGTCGATTTAGCCAAAACATATCAACAAATCGATGGATGATAGCGATTCAGCGAGTGGCGACGACGTACCTACGACAGCTTGCTCGGAGTGCACGAAAATCGTCGTTTCACGGCAGTGCAGACGTCTTCCCCTTTCAATCGGCCGTACCGGGAAGTTGTTCTGGGAGGTTTTGCAGTTTATTCGATAGTGGGTTTGAGATGATAGTGATTTAACGGGAAAATAGGAAGGGATTTGATTTTATTTCAAAAGGTAAAATAACGGGTTTTGTGGGATTTGATTGAGAGTAATTATATAATTAGGAAAAGTTTGGGCTATTATCAAAATGGCAAATATAAATTTGGGTCTACTCCTATTATTTGAATGTTTAAGGGGGTTATATCTAATAGACCCTATTTAAAAATATATATATATATGATTAGTAATAATAAAATTAAAAAAATAAAATAATAATAGGTATATTATTTTATTTTATTTAGAAACTGCAATAACTCCTTCCTTTAGACTTTTATAAAAAGTTTTTACCGCAGCAGGATATTTTACTAATTTCACTTTCACTTTGAAAGTAAATGCATACATTAAAATAAAAAGGTGAAAAGAGTCCTTTTTTTTTTAATTTAATTATTTAATTTTAAATTTGAAGTCAGTCCTTCTTGCAGTTGCATACCCAACACTGCATATGCAAACATCGCTGGGTACTTCCTCTGGTCTGTGTAAAATTTACTTTAAAATTATATTATTTTCCCTCAATATACCACGTTAACGCATATTATTATTCTACATAGTATATATTAATTAATACATAAATATATATTATATACATTAATTAATAAGTCAAATGAATAAAATATTTATGTATAGGAGAAATGGGAAGAGACGTGGATTAATCATTTGTATACTTATTCTTATCTAATCTGTACATGGGTTTTTAGTATGTACTTGGATTATTGTATTGCTGTTGGATCATTTAAATAAAATAAAATAATAAATAAATAAAAAGAAGATAAAATTAGAAGCGATATACAATGGAAATCGTAATATTATTGAACTTATTCACTATATTTATAAAGCATAATTATTTCATAAGACTGATAAAATAAAATACAAATTATTTCATAAGAAAATAATTATAGTATATTTTTAACAATATACTATCCATTATTTATAAATGAGGCTGATTAGTCAATTGTTTTTTTTTTTTTTTTGAATGGAAGCACAGAAAATTCTACTTTGAATTCAGCAACCAATAATTGTGTACTCAGCACACTCACAATTTTAATCTCCTTATATATATATATATATATATATATATATATATATATATATATATATATATATATATATATATATATAATATATATAATATATTTATTTTCTCTCTCCCACTTAATTTTTAATAATTTTTTTTCTTTTTTTTTTCTGTATCATATAAGTATATATTGTGCAGCATTGACTTCAAATAGATAAAAGAAAAATATTAGAGGGGGAGAGAGAGAGAACATGCCAAAATGTTGATTAATTAAATTTATTCCAGCACTTTTAACTTGCAAAAAACTATTGGACAAATCAAATAATTTGCAAATTATAATCATTAAATTAATTACTAATTACCTTAATTACGGCGAACCAAATTAACCAAACCCTAAACATAAAAAAGTGACTACCGCATATATTCTTATCTTGAGAACAAGCTAAAGTGTAGATTTCATTCATGCAAAAAAGAGTTATGCGTTTTAATTTAACCCTTTTCTCTCCATAAGAAGTAAATCAAGAAAATCGAAGTCAAACGTAATTATTTAGCAATTATCTAAAACAAGTAAACAACTACTCTACACGTCAACATGGTGTGTTTTTTTTGTTTTTTTTTTTAATTAATTAATATTTTTTGATGGTATATATATTTTTCAGCCCACAAGGATTTAAACCTAATTTAGAATAAAAACAAGTAGTGGGGGACTAAGTTTATTGAGATGGGATTTTATCAAAAAATGGATATATATAATTTATGCATAAGACTACCTAGTATGGGTCATGAGCTGTAATATAATTAGGATTGCTTTTTTTTTTTTTTTTCTTTTTTTTTTTTAATTTATTTAGGTTTTTTATATAAATCCAGTTCATGTGATGTGTTTAAGGTAGATTTTTTTTTCTTCTTAATTTAATTTAGGGATGGTCCTTCGTTTTTTTTTTCTTTAACTAGGTTAGTTGTGTATTTGAATGTCTAGACATATTTGCTACGTTAAAATAGACAAAAGAAAATTTTAATCACGGTACATCTTCGCCGAGGATTTGTGCTTGATCGGGGGATCGACAATTGTTCCGACTTGGTAGATGTTGCTGCCGATTGAAGGATAAGAGAAGGTAACCGATTAGAAAAGTCGGGTTTTTTATTTTGTATCGAGAAAGCCGTTTCGGAAAAGAAAGCGGAGCTGCAATTTTATTAGTTTACTACGTTGTAAAAAGAAATGTACACTTGTTGATTAAAATAAACAAGATGATAAAAAAAAAGAAAAAAAAAATTTAGGAACCACAAATGGATATTAATAAAAATTTACTCTTTGACCCCATAAAATTGATTTAATTATTTTCAAAGACTTATATTCTGTCAATCGATGATTGATGATTGATGCCTAAGTAGAATGTATATTATATGATGCTGCAAAATTCGCACCTCCGTGATCTTTTTCCGAACCCAACTCACTTAGTTGTGAGAAAACTCATGTAGCGCTGAATTTAGAACCGATGAAGATAAACTAACGATCAGAAAATATTAATGAAAGAGAGAGAATTTTGAAAAAGAGTATTAGAGTGTATTGATGCCATTTCATGATCCTAAACGAGTCTTTACATTTGTTTACATAGGAAATTTCTTAACAAACGTTCCTATTTTAGAATTTCTTTATTAGTTGAAATTTACATTGACTGCTAAATTAGTAATCCTAATTTACATACCTTCCTTATCTATTTAGTTATAATACCTTCGAATCTTCCTCCAATCACTCTCATGCAACTTGTTACCTACCCCATTGATCGTCTCTTGTATGTTCGGATGAGCTGGCTAGCGTTCGTTAATCGCATATCCTAAAGTCATCATTTGGCGAGTTTGGTACTAATGATCCTTCTTCCACAAAGCTTCTAAAGAGGTCATGTCTTCCATGCAAACTGGATCTTTAAGCCCAATAAATCCATCTTAGCCCATATGTGTTTGTCCTCCTATTGTCAATAAGCCCAATGTGAGAAGTTTGACCCAACCTTACCGAACTGACCACCATCATTAGACATGAATTAGTCTAATACGAATTCATTGAGTTAAGTGGAAACTTATAATATTTTAAGTTCAAAATAATTGTGTAAAATTTAAAATATAACAATCTTAACCAACTAGTCAATACCAAGATATAACTATTGATATGTAATTATCGTTGTGATAGCATATTGTTTGGTTTAATGGGAGTGGGTGGTAAATTAAATTAAATAATTATTGGAACTAATAAAGTTACAGAGACTTCAAACTTTGAGTTCGTGTCAGTTAATGTGTCACATTTGTAGATTCCTTCAAATTATAATTTCACCTTGTTACTATATTTTAAAAATAATGGGTATCGTATTCAAAGGTAATTGAGATACTACATGCAGTGAAAACAAATTGGATAATTTTTAATCGTTAATTGTAGTAGTGAAAGTAAACCGAAGTCAAAGACAATCCCAAATCTAAATTCTTCCAATCCATTATTTATTAGTGTAATAATCCTCAAATAGAATTAAGCAATTTTTGAAAAAAAATAGTATATCAAAATTAATTTCATAATAAATCTTTTAATTGAAAATCCAATTATGCTAACCTTAAAATCAACCAAAATTAAATTATCATTAAAAAGGAAAAACAATTTAAATAATTCGAAAAGTCCGATAAAAAAATGTAACCCTTTCATATTCTTCTTACCTTTCATACCATAAAATAAATTCTCTTCCCATTTTCGGAGACTCCCATAAATTACAGAATCACGAGAGAGCGTCGGCGCGTGTTCCACCGCCACCCCATCACACATACATATATGTGTGTGTATCTCTATATCCTTGCATACACGTATAATAAATACAGATATACATATATATATAGTCCATATATCATCTGTCTGTCACTTTCTCTCTCTAGAAAACAATGAAATCCAAAACAAACAACAATTAAAATCACTTCTCTGTATTTTTTTTTGTTTTCGATTTTTCGGTTTCGATTTCGGTTCCGGTGAAAAAATGGCGATATGGGGGAGCCTGACTCACTACCTTTCATTGAGAACAAAGAAAACAAACCTCTATTACATGGCTATAACCACCGTCCTCTGCTCCATTTTCTACCTCATCGGAATCTGGCAGCACGGCGGCGCCGCCACCTCCGCCACCCTCCTCCCCTCTCTTCCATGCAACACCGACGACATCAAAACCACCGGACCCAATCCGAAAACCCTCCCCACCAACGCATCAGCCGTCACCCTCGACTTCACCGCCCACCACACGGCGGAGCTCCTAGTCACACTCTCACCGGCGGCGCGTGCGGCTCAGTTCCCTCCCTGCGACCCGAAATTCTCGGAGTACACGCCGTGCCAGCACGTGGAGAGATCGCTGAAGTTCGACCGGGATATGCTTATGTACAGGGAGAGGCACTGCCCGGAGAAGAACGAGCTCTTGAAGTGCAGGATTCCGGCGCCGCACGGGTACAGATCGCCTTTCCGGTGGCCGGAGAGTCGGGATGTGGTGTGGTACGCGAACGTGCCGCACAAGCATCTCACGGTGGAGAAGGCCGGCCAGAACTGGGTCCGGTTCGAAGGCGACCGGTTCAGCTTCCCCGGCGGCGGAACAATGTTTCCACGTGGCGCCGATGCGTATATTGACGACATCGGGAAATTAATCAACCTCGAAGATGGCTCCATCAGAACCGCCATTGATACTGGTTGTGGGGTAAGCGCGTCGATTATTCTTCAAATTCCTATAATTAAATCACATTATTATTCATTTTTCCAAAAAACACAAAAAATAATTATTTCACCGATAAGTAATTAATTAAAGTTATCACCCCTCAACTTTACATCAATTCCACATTTGGCCCCTATACTTGCAAAAAAACACATTTTGTCCCTTACGTTTCAATAATTTAACGTTTTTTGTCATTTCCGTCAATTTACCGTATCTGTCAGTGAAGTCATTGATTGATGGGCACACGATTGATTCCGTTAGTTTTAATAAAAAAATGACAGAAAGGACTAAAAGTCTTGAATTTTTGAAACATGAGGGACCAAATGTATTTTTTGTGAACCTGATGGACCAAATGTGTAATTGGTGCTAATATGAGGGACGAAAACTGTATTTTTCCCGATCTTGTTAATATGTCAAAAATAAAATATCTACAATGATTTCACCAATAAAGAAGATTGACTTGGATCATATCACATGTAATTAGTATTTATTGATTTTATTAATATTTGAAAATTCGAATAATCAAAGCACAATGTCATAAAGTTAATTGCATGTTTAGGTTGAATAATCCCACAAAGTCAATGGTTCTTTGTCTTCTTCAGAAACAAAATTAATTTTCTATTCAAGTTAGTGAATAAATAAAATAAAATAAAAAAGAATCATTCCTTGAGTATAGGGTCGAGTGAGTAATTATTTCAATTAATTTTTTTTTTAAATTTAGAACATAATTAAACTGTATTTGATTATGATTAAACTGTAACTAGGTTCATAGTTTTTGGCCTTTGAGAAGAATGTTTGGTTGTCACTTGTCATGTTGGAGACGTGTGCATTATTTTCTTAATTGTTAAATCAATTATTATTTTTTTTATCAAGATTTAAAAAATAATTTTTTTTATCAATTAATTATCACAACTAATCTTTGACTTTCTCTACTGATTGGCAAGTGGTATATATAATTTGATGAATTAGAATCTTTGAATCCTTCATTTAGAATAAAAATTAGAGGACTCAAATCTCAATTAGTTAAACTGGATTTTGTAGATGCTACACCTGATGAAATACATCATTTCATCGGGTGATCGTATACTATTGATCTACACGTAATAACACACACTCATGTGTGTGTGTGTTTAGTGGGTGTTATTTATATAGATCAATAGTGCAAAATCGCACAATGTAGCATCTCATAGACTGTTAAACTGTTGAAGATTCCACATTTTCTTCATCTACACTCCGAGAATTAGGGATTACAATTTAACCCGTCCCATTAACTAATGGGGCGGTTACGGGTTTTAAAAATTTCACCCGTTTTCAACACATGAACTCATAGTAATCATTCTTGGAATAGCAAAATTTTCTTGCAACCATTTATTTTCTTGAATTTCTCAACTCTCTTTTAATATTGTGTCTTTTCTAGGAGAAAATAAATGCAATATGTAACAAATAATCATGCCTACAAACATCTTTTTTTGGGTCGAATATTCCAATATAGATAGAAATAATTGATTTTGCAATAAAGTTGTTTTGCTAATTGGCTATATATATATATATATACATTTGTATCTACAAAAAATTGCAATTTCTAGTGGTTCTTGCTTTTAATATTCTGCTGAGATCAGTATCAATGAACAAAGAACTCTGCTGTATTGAACCATAAAAAACAACCTTTGACACTGAAGTTTTTGCTGTCTTTTTCCTTGGCAATAATGTTTATTTTATTTTTTGTTTTTTTTGTTTTTTTGTTTTAATCGTAGGTTGCTAGTTGGGGAGCTTATTTACTATCTCGAAACATCTTGCCAATTTCGTTTGCTCCAAAAGACACACACGAAGCACAAGTCCAATTTGCCCTCGAGCGTGGGGTCCCTGCCCTAATCGGAATAATGGCCACCGAAAGGTTGCCTTATCCTTCACGAGCTTTCGATATCGCCCATTGCTCAAGATGCCTAATCCCGTGGGGGCAATACGGTAATTTACTATACATACTTGGAGATTTTTTTTAAAAAATTAACCTTGTTAGGAATTGGAAAAATACGAGAGGAGCAAAATTTGAATCTGAACTTCTACCCTAATAGTCTAATAGTACATCCCGGTTACCAACTCTCCGAGTGAGGGCATAATTGACTTTTGTTATGTTTTTTTTTTTTCTTTTTCTAATTATGGATTCTTTTTTTGGAATAGATGGGCTTTATTTGATTGAAGTGGATAGGATATTACGGCCCGGTGGATATTGGATTTTGTCGGGCCCGCCCGTGAACTGGGAGAATCATTGGAAAGGGTGGAACAGAAGCAAAGAAGATCTCGGCCGAGAGCAAAACGGGATCGAAAGCGTGGCTCGAAGCCTTTGTTGGAAGAAATTGGTGCAAAGAAATGATCTTTCTATTTGGCAAAAGGCAACTAATCACGTACATTGTAAAATTAATCGAAAAGTCTTCGGAAAACCTCCCTTTTGCGAGTCCCAAGATCCGGATCAAGCATGGTAAAATTACGAACTTAACCTTTCGTTTAGTTGCAAAGTTAGATTTTTTTTTTACATATATTTATCTTGGGTTGACCTACAACAAATATTTATATGCTTCTTTCGTTTCAAAATAAGTGTCACTTTTGACATATTTTTTTAAACAGGAACACTAAGATGGAGGCATGTTTGACTCCATTGCCGGAAGTTTCCGACATCAAAGAAATCTCCGGCGGTCAACTGGCAAATTGGCCGGAGAGATTAACAGCGGTGCCGCCTAGGATCCTCAGCGGAAGCATAGATGGATTAACAGCCGATAAATTCTTAAAAGATACAGAAACTTGGAAGAAGAGAGTGGCACACTATAAGGCCGTGGACCAGCAACTCGCGGAGCGCGGCCGCTACCGTAACTTGCTCGACATGAACGCCGATTTGGGCGGCTTCGCGGCGGCATTGGCCGACGACCCCGTTTGGGTCATGAACGCCGTCCCCGTCGAGGCTGAATCCAACACGCTCGGAGTCATATACCAACGTGGATTAATCGGAACTTATCAAAATTGGTATTTTTTATTTAATTTTAATTTATTTATTTTAAGACACGGGGTTTTTAAGGTTTTGTTAACTAATTAAAACCTCGAAACGATTTCGAACAGGTGCGAAGCAATGTCGACTTATCCAAGAACTTACGACTTCATTCATGCAAACTCCATATTCACCATCTATAGAGACAGGTAAGTACGAATATTTTTTTTTGCCACACGACAAAATCGAATACTTCGACGACTTTAATCGTTTAATTTTATTATAGATGTGAAATTGAAGATATATTGCTAGAAATGGACCGAATATTGCGGCCGCAAGGTAGCGTAATAATACGAGACGATGTGGATGTATTAGTGAACGTAAAGAGCATAATCGACGGGCTTCAATGGGATAGTAGAATGACTGACCATGAAGGAGGACCTCATGTTAGAGAGAAGCTTCTTATTGCTACTAAGCAATATTGGACTGCCCCTGCCCCTGATTCATAGTTATACTAATTTTTTTTTAATTATTATTTTATGTCGATAAATATTATTTAAAAAAAAACATTATTTTGTTAATTTTTGACTTTTTTTTTTTAAATTTTGGGGTTTTTCTGATACTTTAATAGTTTTATTATTACATAATGTCAAATGAGGAGGGAATTAGTACCTGCATTGTCTAAATATGAACTGTGTGGCTGGCTTGGCTTTATTCAAAGCACTCTAAGCAGAGTTTAATTAACATAAAAATTCAGTGTACATTACCATTTTTACCCCTTGAATTATGGTTTTTTTTTTTCTTTTTCCCCCAATATTACTTGCATTTTGGGTTGAAAAACAGGTTGGCCGGATCGAAATTCGTATTTTTTAAAATGAAAGACGGAAGTGTAAAACTAATTCTAATTCCTTTTCAAAAGGTTCTGAAAAGGAATTGAAATCAGAATTTCGGAAAATTGGAATGGAAAAATATATGCAAATTTTAGGAATTTTTTAATTAAATTGGCGGATTTGAAAAATTATTTTTATTTTTACCTACAATAATAATGTCATTTTGACAAAAAAACATTCGAATTTTCGGAATTATTTGGAAATCAAAATCGATTTTGGCAACCGGAATTTCATACATACATTCAAATTCCAATCCAAAAAAATCCGGTAAAAAATAATTATCGTAACAGCGCTTCGGGACAAGAATCATTCGGTTCTTCCGTTTGGAGCATTCATTGAACAAAGTCTGTCTTTATCTAGAGTCTTTGTATCTTGTACGTTTGATTTTATTAGACGATCTGGTAATAAATTGGCACATATGCTAGTGTCGATGTATGGTCATTCTTATAGCGAGGGAGCAACCCTTCCTTCGGACTTGGCGGATATCGCCCAATAATATTGATCGATTCTTCTCAAAAAAAAAAAATAGAAAAATGTTATTTTAAAATTGGAAATTTTCAGATCAAACTCACCAAAAATAAGTAATTGCCAATAGGGTAATGGTCTAGGGTTCGAGTCCCCCCCTCCCCTACTTCCCCTTGTAATGGACTTGAATTTACTCAAAAAAAAAAAAAAGTAATTGCGTTCCGGTTTTCTTTCTCACATTTTATGTGAATTTAAACGGTCAAACATGGTCAGAGGGGGGTTTTCGTTATTATGCAAAACATGGAGGATTTGTTCGTAATTATGAAAATATAGGGGAATTTTGCATAATTAAGCATTCCTTCAGGGGGTTTATCGTAATATAAACTAAAAAGAAATTAGGCAGTGGGCCAGTGGCATTAGTTCTACTTAGTTTAGTTACAAACTCCGAAGCCCAAATTCTCGGCCGCAATTTTCTGCACCAGTTCAATCTAATTCAACACCCTAATAAAAAAAAAAAAAAAAAAAAAATTGTTGATGGAGAGACAACAACAATTTAATTCAACACCTCGTACGCTCTCTCATATATAAATAACGAGGAAATCCCAACACGTTCGCAGCACACTCGTTCGTCGGTGTTTTCTCTCTCACAAAGGTGCGACTTTTTTCTCCATTTTGTTGATTTGTTGCATGTAAATTTTTTTTTTTTAATGTTCGAGGCCGCCATTGTTGTTTGTGTGCTTGCTTTTTGCTGAATTGTTAGTGGGCTCGAGCCAATTTGTGTTATATGATGGTGAATTGGTGATGGGTGTTTTTTTTTTTTTTTTTTTTTTTGGTTGTTGTGTCTGAAATCAAAAAATCCTTAATTCTTCGATAGGGCAGGGCTTATGTTCTTCGATTTGATTAATTGAATTTTGGTTAATTTGTTGTTAGATTCTCATTTGTAAAACCCGATTTGTAAATTAGGGTAATGTTAATACTTCAGAGCTCCCCATAATTACTTATGTGTATAGTTTCAGATTTCGATTAACTGTAATTGGATTAGAGCAATGGAGGATAACCAAAGAGACGGGATTCGATCCGATTTTCTGAAATGCTTTGGGATCGACGTGTCTGTTTATATCATGAGCTTCTTAGATGATCCGGCTGACCTAGTTCGTGCAAGTGCCGTCTCGCACTTTTGGCGCCAATTTGGTGAGTTGTACAATTTTGATATTTTTTAATCTTTGTTCAATTAGGTCACTCAATACTAATGTTTGACGAACTTGAAATGATGAACTGTATTTCTATCGGAGTTATTTAGTGCATGTATATGCATGTAGAAAGAACATGTGTGGCGGATACCATACGTGTGAATCAGGAAATACCATACGTGTGAATCAGGAAAAATTAAGCACCTGCAATACTAGTGTCGATGAATTACGAAATTGTTAAATTGATACAATTTACACACACACACACACACACACACACACACACACACACACACACACACACACACACACACACACACACAATAAGAATAATGTGTGGCGGTTGTACGTTAGTGTATCTCATACTCATGAATTGACACATGCTACAATTATAAAGCCGGCAGAAAAGTCTCGTAGATATGGCGAAGAATAAATCTGTCTGACGAACTATCTTGCTAGGGTTTTATTTTTCTCGGAATAAGATTGTCATTTGTCTAAATTAACGCTATATGAAGATTTTTTTTAATTTTTTTTTTGCATTAAATTATGATATCATCGTTATGAAGATCGTGATTTGTCTAAGGCTTATATATGATGTCATAATTTTTTATATTTTATATTTTTATTTTTCAGTGATTGCGAATGGACTTGCAAAACAGATGTGCTTTAAAAAATTCCCGCAACTCTCCAATATCGTCGCGGTATCCGATGCAAGCGAAAGCGAAAACATTTCAGTGGACCCCACAGCACAGAATATTCTCGAGAGGAATCACAAGGTATATATATCTCTAATTCACGCCCTCACTAAATCGAAGGTTTCTGCAAAGGATTGCATAGAGGATGCAGTTAGTGCATCAAGTACAGATAATTATCCGGAGGAAAGTGTCGTCAATACTCTTACGCCAAGAGATATATTCGTTAGGAGACCTTCTTATTGGTCAAGCAAAGGTCAAAGTAATCCCGAAGTACCCGAGACTTTGATTTACAAATTACAAGATGGTATTTGGGTTATTACCGAAATTAATATTCAACCGTTTGAAGGTATAGTTTTAGTCACTTCATTCTTGGTGTAGTATTTCGTGGTTTGGAATATAATGGTTTTTTTTGTATTCAGCTTTTTTCCAGTCTGGCAAACCCTTGTACTCGTCGAAATTTGTACGGTTTCGAATAGGTCATACGAAAAACGGGAAAGAAATTGAAGGTGACATAAAAAATTTGCCGCCGTATAAGCGTACTGATGACCTATTTGTATGGACTTACACTTCACCTGAATTTCCTATGGCGCAGGTCATATTTTATTTTATTTTTTTTCATTTAAAAAAAAATTCACTCGTTTCCTCTTAAAAATTACTCATTTTCGATTTTTTTTTAAAACAGGAGAATCGTTTACAGCCATTTAAGCTACCAGAACCAGTCGTTTGTGTCGGTGGATATTTGGAGATTGAGTTGTCGGGTCGGGTTCAAAGACAGGAAATGGACGGATTATTCTATATATGGTACGTTTCGCTTTGCTTGCTAATATTATAAAATTCAATATATATATATATATATATATATATATATATATATATATATATTATATTCGAATGTTACAAGGATAATTTTTTGGAGCTGTTTTTCTCTTTTAGCATTTATGGGATTATTCTCTTTTTTTTTTTCTCTCTCTCTAAAATCCCGTTTACACACACTAACGGTGATGATTTGCACACTGCAGTGTGTGTTACGTTCGAGTTTTAGGACAACCCCTCTCTCCTGCATTTGAGATAAGTAAGGTTGAGCCAAATGGGAATATGGAGCTAAACTATTACCCTGAAAATCTGAAATCCGTTATGGAGAACTCTTCCGTTAGTGCCCCTACTAATTTGCAACCACTCGAAGAAAACATTTTGTGGGAACGAATAGGTTTGCTGGAGGATCTATTACGTGGCATGCAAGATGGGGTTTTGCCCGTACTTGAGGATTTTCCAGATCTCGATGCTGATGTGGATGAGGATGATGCCTGATTCCTGCTTACAAAATTGTTCGATTATTCGACTACTTATCGATCAAATTTGCCCCATTCCTAAACAGGACTTTTATAGAGCATATATATGTGTTGTGTAATGTTGACTTTGAGAACCGAGTTTTCTTGATAATGTATTATGCTGCGAAGAGTCTAATAAATAATTTTATAGACTTTGTAATGATCCAAAAGTAACATTGAGGGTTAAATATAATAAAAAGCATAAAATTGAGGGGCGTATTATTTAAATTTATGGATTAAAAATCAAATCAAGCTATTCAATACTGATTCGAGATTGCTCGTTGGAAGCTCGTTAGAGTCGATTTGTCAACATAATGAAGATAATTTTACAGAGTTTAGTTCGATGATGTATGAAGTTCGAGCTCGAAAAATCAAGCTACTTGAACTTAATTCGTATTCGCTTGATTAGAACTCGACTCGATTGCTTATCAATTCATTTTCTCTAAAAAAAATAATTTTTGGGGGTAAAATGGAAAATAATAAAGTTTTGAGGGGGAAGTACTTACAAACTTAAATGTTAGTGGGTAATGTGAGTAAATATTCAAATTTAGTTGGGGGGTGGAATCGTCATTTTACAAAGTCTGAATTGTGTTTTCCTCTTCCCTTGTTCTTATCAATTTTCGTAATTTGGTGGAAATTCCCTCTGAAAGCTCAATTCTCTTGATCGAAAAGGTTGGATCTTCATTACAATAAAAGGTAAATTCATTTGATCTGTACGATTTCTCTGTTATTCTTGCCGAATTTAGGTTTTTCTGTAATTTATTGCTGGTGCTTGCCCCCATTTTGCCTGTTCTTATGTTTGCATTTTTGCCTTTTTTGTTTTCTATTTAAATTTCAGTGTATGAATACAATTGTGAATTTCAATTGTGTTTAATTGTCAGATTTGAACTACATTAGCCCTAATTTTACTAATTCGTTGTTAATTAGGGCAGAATATCTGAATGGAGGTGGATCTCTTCGCGAACGATGTAACTTCTCACATCCTGGGATTTTTGAACGATCCAGTTGATGTGATACGCGCCGGCGCCGTTTCACAGTCGTGGCGTCATTTCGGTGAGTTGACTCAGCTGATTCCGGTGAGTTGAATCAGCTGATTTCAGCGAGTTGAATTATTCAAAAATCTTTTTTTTTTCCAGTAATAATGTTAGCTTGTTCACCTTGGGGCAGTGATTGCAAATGGAATTTGCAAAAAGCTATGGTTAAAAAGGGTTCCTATAATCACCAGCATTGCGTGTGAAGTCGAAGAAGGCGACGGGATAATCAAACTGTTGGATATCGGATCTAGAAACTCCGTCAACTGGGAGACTCTCGAGACCGAACATAGAATCTTCTCTTCTCTCCTTCACCCTCTCGCGAAACAGATCGTTTATCCGAACGACATCTTAGCTTTCCCGATCGGTGCTTCGAGCACAGATCACGGTCTAGCAGAAAACATTATCAACACTCTGACTCCGATCGACCGATACCCAAACGGTGCTTCGTACTGGTCTAGTAAAGGAGAGGTCGATCCCGATGTACCCGAGAATATAATCTACAGACTCAAATCGGGTGTGTGCATTGTCACTGAAGTCAATATACGACCCTTTGAAGGTGATCTCTCTCTCTCTCTCTACCTAATTCCCTTTCAATTTTCGTTGTCCTCGTCATTTTTTTTTGTTATCTTATTTTGTTACTTTAATTTGTTGTCAGCATTTTGGGAGTTTGGAAAGCCTGTTTACTCGGCAAAGTCGGTGCGTTTTCGGATGGGTCATCCGAAATCAACACAAGATATGGGAATGGAAGTATTTCCGGTTGACAAGCCTTGTGTCGACAAGTACGAATGGACATATACTTCACCGGAGTTTCCTATGACACAGGTTCGTTTACGTTTTTGATAAAAAAAAAAAAACCAAAAAAAAAAAAGAAAAAAAAAAGAAGGAAATTGTAAAAAGATCAAAATTTTCATTCGAAATTACGGGTGTTGTAATAAAACAGGAAGCATGCTTGCAACAATTCAAGCTACCAGAACCCGTCATTTGCGTCGGAGGGGTTTTTCAGGTGGAGCTTCTCGGTAGGGCCCAGATGGAAGAAATAAACGGACTGTACTATATATGGTAAGTCTCGCTAATTTTCTGTTTTCTCACTAAAAAAACCCATTTTCTCCTTAATTTATTTACTAAAGTTTTACTTAGTAAACTCGTTGTGTGGTTGCAGTTTGGGTTACGTTAGGGTTTTGGGGCAATCTCTTGACCCGGCATACAATCTTGAAATGTATCCATCGGGAGAGTTTGGGCTAAGGTACTATCCGCATGGTCTCGACTATGTTCTTAGAAGCATCTCCGGCGAGAGTGTGCCGTCTAAATACGACTCCGACGATGAAACTTCGGCGGTGATGGCGGCTTTACTGCCCGCGGAGATGGTCGAGGAGGTGCTTATGTCCGATGAAGACGAGTGGTGGTGATGAAACTAATGCCCTGTTTTTTGTGTGTATGTAATATAATTACATGTACCTATATTTTATAGTAGTTTGATATATGTAACCAGAGCTTATGTGGATACGGTTTACTTGCTAATTGCAAATACCTGAATGTTTACAACATATGTGCAAGAACAAGAAACTTAATCGTTCAAAACGGGGGCATGATTCGAACCCTACACCCCTACTCTAATAGTAGATGCTAGGTACCAATTTTATAGAATTTAATAAAATTAATAAATATTAAGTAAAGTTGATTGATAGATATTACTTGATTAACTAATTTTTTAGCATATTAAAAACTATTTTTTAGAATGTTATTTGCCAACTGAAAATATATATTATGCTTGTCTTTTAGAATGTACCCTAAAACTTATTAGGTGCTCTAAAATATTTATTATGCTTGTCTTTTAGAATTTACCATAGAACTTTAATTTCATTAGGTGCTCTAGAAACCGACCCATGCAAATATTTATTATGTTTCTTTTAGAATGTACCCTAGAACTTTAATTTCATTAGGTGCTCTAGAAACTGACCCCATGCTGCAAATATTTATTATGTTTGTCTTTTAAAATGTACCCTAGAACTTTAATTTCATTAGGTGCTCTAGAAACTGACCCCATACGGTAGGATAAAATCAATCATCATCATAGGAATACACTTATATGAGTGTATGTACAATATTATGACAAAATAAAGTTCCAAGAGATTGAATACCTTCGAACTGTTTCGCACCATTCGTAATTTTCCTACATAAAAGACGGCAAAATCCTTGTATACCATCTTCCTAATTGTCTTTGGGTCTTCCAACAGAAATCGACCATGTGCTAGGAGCTTTCCTAGGAGTATGGAAATTGAAGCACTCACTAACTAGACCACTGATGTCGTATTTACTTGTTATATCTGGCAGCTCACTGCCTTTTGCCTCTGCATTAAACGAATGTATAAGAAATCTTAATAACATAAGAGAGTTTAAAAACCACTTACCATAAAACTGTGACGAACCGCAGAAGCTACACTTGCAAGTAGCCTGACCAAAAACAGATAAACAAGATAAAACTTACCACATTAGACATACGGATCAAATTCCCGCCTTCCATGCTTGCAAAACACAATCTCTCAATTGCATGGGAGCTGTAAAATTGCTCCCAGTAGTCCATGGCACTCGCATGATGTTGTTTTTCGTGATTATATAAAGTGAGCTGCGAAATAGAATGCTCTGCTATTGATTCCTCCAGTTGAGAATTTCGATGCTCGAGCTGCTCCAACTGATACATTTGAGATTCATAGGACTTAATTAACTCCGATTTATATAAACACACATGCTTATATATACATATACATATACATATATTTCTTATCCTAACCATAAAGCATCCAGAAAACGAAATGGGAAGACCACAATTGACGTCTATATATGAATTAACATCAAAATTATGGTGATCCCTATAAGCATTGAACCTGAAATAAACATAAGAAAGCCTTAGCAAGTAGTAAAAAAAATAAAAAAAATGTTGTCTAAGAAAATCAACGAAAAACAATAAACACATTTCAGCTGTTAGCGTTGTGTAGCCCTCATAAATTCCAACTTCAGACTGCAGTGGTACATGTAGTTCAAATGATTCCGTGCATAAATCAAAAGATAAAATCTGCATTAATCATTACATCCAAATTAATGTATTTAGTTATATATTGGTAAAAAAAACAATGAACGAATAGACCACATGATTACCTTAGCAGCCTTGTCGTTGGGGAATACCACGCGAATATTTCCTCTGTAAAAGATGGAAAAACGCTGGTATTCCATTTTTCGAACTACTCTATCCTCTAACAGCAACATATTTCCATTAGCAATGATTTTTGCTCGAGGAGAACAAAAATTTATAAAGTCCGAAATTAGACCATTCTCAAATTTGCACTTCCATGCACGTGGAAGTGACCTTGTAGTCGCCTCTGCATTCACAAATAAAAAGAAAGAATAACACAACCCTTTAGAACAAAAAAATAATTGCACAATGCCCCATGATTAAAAACTTTGCCAGAGTTTAGTGTTAATAAGTTCAGTTTAGTCATTAATTTTGCAACAGAAAAATGAGCATCTTATTTGTTTCAAGAAGAATGAGCATATATTATTTGTTTCAACAGAAAATTATGTTTACTTTCTTTTGGTTGGTAAAATCTATCATGAATAATTAAATAATTGGATGCAATGCAAAAACAATTACTTAAATGTAGTAGTATAGAGGAAATATAGTATATCCTATTTATTTTGTAAGAATAATATGATGGACTTAAATGTAATAAAATTCATACATATACTTTTTTAAGTACCATATTATGTAGAAAATTCGATTTTAGAGATATTGTTAAACACATTTTTAGCAGTATATACAGTGCATCCTAAGAACAAATAGTTATAAATAATTAAACATTCCATAAATTAAACATCCTTGTATTATTACAGCTATACACTTACTTTCATGATATATATTGTAGATAATAATGAATTCGTAAAACTTGTTCGAGAAATCAATGTGTTCATAAAACTCGAAATTCTTAAACAAACGGTAAATTCGAACTAAACATTTTAATTTTTTCTTTTCTTTCCGAATTGTACTTATGAGAAATCAATTGACAAATTTAAAATCCAATCACGAACACAATTAGTAGCAAACGATGACCCATCGGTAATCTCTCCTATGTGCAGGAGAAGTTAAAGAGCACTTACGACTTCGAAAAAAATGCACGTAAAGTTAGAGATAACATGTTCCAAAAGGGTTTTTACGAGAAGGGTCAAAGCTTGTAAACGGGTGTAATGCCGCCGAGCAAATAGAAATTGAAAGAAATAAATAACAAAAAATAAAATAATAAAAAAATCAAGACAGCGAGAAAACATAGCCCACGATGCCAACCATATTTTTTTTTATTAATAATTATTTAAACTGGGAGGGTGGCTTTTTTGTAATTTTCAAACTTATATCAAACGGTGTAAATGTCAAAGGTCTGAAAACTAACGGCGGAAGCAACATTGAGATAATTTATCAAGTACGGGGGCAAATCGATGTAATTGAGAGTAGAAGGGAAAAAGTGATATCGACCCAAAGTGTACAAGGGGGCAAATCGATGAATTGGGAGTAGAAGGGGAAAAGTAATATCGAGCCAAAGTACAATGGGGCAAATCAAGACAATTGAGAGTACAATGGGATGAAGTGATATCCAGCCAAATTCAAGGGGGTAAAGTGGAATTTACCCTTATTATTATTGAGTTAATTGCAATAGGTACCACTTTGAAATACGTAATTCGTAAATAACCCCCGTCAAAAAACATATGACCCATGTACCCCCAGGCTAAAAAAAAGTCAAGGTATCCGTACCCCACGTGTCTTTCACGCGCTACTGGAGCGATTTTCTCTTCATTTTTGCCTGTGAAATGGCAGAATTGCCCCCAGCCTGCCGGGAAAGCTTCAATGAAAACAAACTCACACACGCCACCAATTCGCCGGGAAAATGGCGCCGCCTCCGTCATCTGAACAGTTATTCCCCCCCTCAACTACCCCGTCGATGGATTTCCTCTGCGGTGGTGCTTGGCGAGCATCGGATTTTGTAAAGAAGGGTTTTATTTTATTTTTGGAAAAATGCAATTCAGTCCCCATATTTTAAGCATTTGATTGCCGCTTCAAACTTGTATTTTGAATTTCATTTTAATAAAACAATCAAATTAGAGCTTTACTCGAACCGAACACAAATCAAACTTCATTTATTGTACACATACTATATTATTGTCACTTCTTTTTATCCTATAATCGATAGGATAGCTCGACTATGAACCGAGCCTCAACATTTATATCGAACAAAAAATATGTATTCAAACTTGAGCACCGAATACCTTAATTTGAATTTTCGGCCCCCAACTCTTCTAGTTCATGTTCAGAAAATGAAAAGTAAAATTGAATTATGGCAACCATATTTTAAACTTATATCAATTAGGGGGTTGCCGTATTTTATAGTACTAATATATATTTTTCATAAATTGCTTCGAAATATCCAACATATAGAAACTCAGTATATTGCTCAAATTAATTCACAAATGATTTATCAAACTGAACAAACACTTGTTCCCAAAAGTTACTTTTCAGAATGATGGTATATATGTATGTATATACAACAAAAAACAGAGATAGATGTTTTAGCACAAAATATTATTCCCCTCGATTATTAATAGATGCCAAATCTAGCTGCTGCAGCTGCTGCAGCTGCTGCTCACAATTCAGTAGTCGCTGAAAACAATAACGTTCAAATATATTAATATTGCATATAATTCTCACGTAGCAATTAAACGACAATCAAGACTTAAAACGAGTATTTAAAAGTTGATGCACTGTACCAAGTTAGGGTTCGATATATTCGACGTATCTTTCATATATTCTTCAAGTCTCTGAAGATGAGAAACGGTCGGTCATATATTCATTAAAAATCAAACTAATATTTGTTGGAGCAAATAAATACTTGTCCTTATCACAAACAAGATTTCTGAAGAACAGAGGATTTATATATATATATATATATATATATATATATATATATATATATATATATATATATATATATATATATATATATGTCTTAACATATAGTGTCTTCTATATGTATGAGGAAGACCAATACTGTCTATATGAGAGCTGATATCCTATCTACGTACAGCAGCGTATCTCTCACACCTGACATATATCAAACAAAATCTTTTTATGTGAGATATATAACGCACAATATATATATATGTGGTATTAATTACACCACAAGAGTGGTACATACAACTTCTGCA